ATCTTCCACCAGACCAGGGTGCTCAGAGCTCCATCCAACCTGGCCTTGAACCCTGCCAGGGAGGGAGCAGCCACAGCTTCTCTGGGCAGCCTGGGCCAGGGCCTCACCACCCTCATAGTGAAGAATTTCTTCCTAATATCTGATCTAAATCTGCCCTTTTTAGTTTAGAGCCATTCCCCCTTGTCCCATCACTACACACCCTTGTGAAATGGGTGCCATATGGGGCAGTTTGGGGCCCAAATTTGCCTCTTTCCAGGACAAGGCTTGAGGGAGGCACGTGGAGGGAGCACTCAGCCCTAGAATCTTTGGGTGACGCTGAATTTGGGTGAGCCACCCCATCTTCCCTGCCCTCCCACCCACCGGGGATTTGCAGGGGTACGAGCAGCTTGGGGCCAGCACCCTGTGCCACCTGGAGCATCCTCACCGGGAGAGCAGAGGGACCCTGCCATGCTGCAGTCCACCCCGGCCCTCGGGGTGATGCTCCCCGTGGCTTCCCCACGCTGCTGGGCTCATTCCCCGTGCCACCATCCAAACACCCTGCAGGGATTTCACCGGCTGAGCGAGGCTGTAAAACCTGCCGGGCTGCCCGCAGGGCTCAGAGCCGCAGCACCGGGACAGGGACTGGTGCCAGCAGGGATAAACCAGGAGCCTGAGAGCATCACTGGTCTGTCGGTCCTGCTGTAAAACTTGGAGGCAGCAGTTCCTACCGCTGCACATTCATCTCCTTCCCAAGGACATCTGGCTCGGGGGAGGCCCAGAAGGATGCTGGCCATGAACTTGGGGTCCTGCCTGCCCTTGGTCACATCCCTTAGCCTCTCAAGAGGGTGTGGGGCATCTCTGGGCCATGGAGAGGGGCTGGAGGGTACAGCTGGGGTTGGGGCTGTACCCTGTGAGCACCCAAGCTGGGTGCTGCTGGAGGGGAAGGGCTGCTGCCTGCACCCGTGTGCGCTGCCTGCCCGAATTCAGGTCACCCTGGTCCTTCGCTGGTGCAGGAGCGGGGCCGGGAAGGCGGGATGCCAGCGCATCCCTCCTCCTCCTCCCATTACTCACGTTGGGTTCCTTCCCCGGAGCAAGGATCCAGGAATAACGGCGCTGGTGACACGACAGCACGAGCGCGCCCTCCGCCCCACCCCAACAG